TGAAGTCTACAAAATGCCACAGTGCAGCAAATCATAAAGTGCTGGGTCATTAGGATGTGTTTGTCATTAGGATTTACTCATTAATCACTTTTTTTTTCATTACAAGGGAGGAAAGGGAGATTTCCTTCTTCTTATATTTTAACCTCAAGTAGAAATTTAAATGCAAGACTGTAATCAATTCTACAGCTCACAAGATTGATTTGCCCAGACCTGAATTTGCAATATTTCCCCTTAAGCAGGCAGTGAGAGCTGCAAGCACTCCAGTATTCCTGGTTTCCCTGTGGCACAGGAGAGAGCTCACACAGAGCCTCCAGCTACCTGCCCTCACACTGATGGACATGGACATTGCCTGCTCAGGGGTGAAATCTCTAGGCAGGAAGCTCTTGGCAGTGTTTATACAGAAATTCCCTGCAATAGGAGTCTCACAAAGGCACGGTGCAAAGAACAGGGCATATCTGCTGGCTTTGGGTCCACAGACTCCAGGGCAAAGGGGTGCCAAGGATAGCTGTACAGAGGAGAAGGTGTCAGTCCTCTTAAACAAGGTGTTTCTGCCACACGTTTGGATGGCCACGTCTCCATCTGCCGCGGGAGAAGGGGCTGTTGGTCACAGTGGTGAGCTCATTAAAGCGAGATCAATAGAGATTTAATCTAATGCCGAGGATTACTCGAAGTGGAATGCTCAATTAAGTGTGGAGGGGAAAAATGCTACACATGAAATGAATTGCCAGCTGATTCCCCTGCTTTATTTGGAATTTAGCCCAATATCAGGGAGGGCTGATAAGCTAAAGCAGAGCGGTGAAAAAACAGCTGGTGCTGGGGGCAGCGGTCAGCAAACACCAGTGAAATGTGCCACATCATTACTCACACATTTTGCAGTGAGCTCCACAGGTACGTAGGGTTTGGCTGGGATTATGTACTTCCAATTTCCACTTTCGTTCACACCAGTGGCTCTAAGAATATTTGAAAGCTGCTAAGGTGAGGATTTGCATAAATGGGATTTGCCACGGCTTTTGGAAAAATGGGAAGAGTTAAGTGAGATGAGTGCTACAAAACTTGTCTTTTCTTGGCAGTTTTTCTGTAATCCGGCCCATTTCTCCCTCCCTGCTCCTCCACCCCCCAAAATCGAAACTGCTGCCGCCTCCCCAGCTCCCTCACCTCTCCGAGCAGCGGCCATACAGGGACAAAGAGGATTCTGTTTTGAATGAAACATTTTATTCTCGAGGCACGAAAACGCAGGAGCAGGCAGGGAGCCAGGAAGCAAGAAAAGAGAAACATATTCGTTAATTAAAACAAGCACTGGTTGCTTTGAACTAAGAAAATCATGTTACAAAAAAAAATGGAGCGATGAGTTCCCGGCCCCTGGAAGAACAGAACACGCTCCAGCCCCAGGAGGGGCAGCGGCCCAGGGAGCTGCGTTGCTGCAGGAGCGGGGAAGAGCGCGGGATGCATTCCCCAAACTCACTAATTGGCAGGCGCGGGGCCCCTGCCGCTCCCAGGGAGAATCCATCCGAACACGAACAGCTCTGCGGCCCGTTGGCACAATATCACAGCGATTTCTTCTTCCAGCAAGTCGCATTTAATCTCTGCCCAGACATTTCAAGGCAGAGCTGTCTTATTTCTCCCCCGTTACGGCAGGACACCTTCCCACGCCATTCCCTGGAGTCAGAGTTTTTGGGAGCGCAGCAGGACGAGGTCCAGCCAGTCACAAACCTCCCTCATGTATCGTCTTCTTTTTCTCTATGAGCCCACGATTGCCTCTGAGAAGCTCAGCAATTTGTTATCCTGAATATTCCACCCCAGCTCCTACAATCTGCCCTCCCCTTCCTGAGGAGGGAGGTTAAAAACACCCAGAGGCTGCCCGTTGTGAGTGGTGGATGAAGCAGTGCTGCCTTCAAGGCTTTCCACATTCCTCTGTGTCCGGGGTGGAAAAGGCCAAGCACAGAGTTATCTTCTGCTGCCTTTTACCACCTACCCCTGGCCCAGTTTCTTTACCATTTATCACTGTTGTTATCACTATTATTATAATCTCTTTTTATCTGTGGTCCAGGGTACACAGCGGGAGTTTTCCTCCCACTCCCCCTGTGCTGTTCTAAAGAGAGGGTGTGCTTTGTAGGGTGGTTCATGATGGAATCATGGGTGGGAAACCACGAGCCGTGGGTGGGGAAGCTGGAATGGCACCTGTGGCTACAGATTCCTCAAAACAACTGACTTTGGTATGTTTTGTTGCAATTCCCCACCAAGTGGGAACAGCAGTTTTGCAGGCCCCCAGCAGTAATCCCTCTGCTCTCTGTTTCTCTGCCTCTGCAAAGTTTTTCCGGGGTTTTTGACAAAGCTTTTTGAACTCAGAGGAAGAAGAGCTGCACTGGCACTGAGGGGGTCGCATTACCCCATCTGGCCCCAAACTGGGGAAAATGCCTGTGGTATTTGTAGGCTCTCCTGTCATTGCCCTCAGGACCCTCCCAGCTGATCCTGCTGAGAAGAAACTGTGTTCTCCTGGGATTATAATGCAGACGATTCTCAGATGGTCACTCCACATCGAGGCCTCTGTAGCAAACTGGAAGAACAACACAAAACCAGAGCTGCTGTAGGATGAAACAGAGAGATTTGATGGAAAATTCCTCCAAAATTTTTTCATACGTTGTGGTAGTTTGGTCTGGGCCTTCCTTGGTGACCAGCTTGTAACCAAGGAAGGGCCCAGATTTACCCAGTATTCCCTACGATTTTTACGTAAGCCAGGCTATAAGAAGAAAGGAGGAAAGGCCTTTGCTCTCTTTCCTTTGGGCGGCTTGGAGGTGCAGGTTCCCTGCTGTTGAGTCTGCCGTGTTGGGGAGCGAGGCCTGGTAAGGCCTTGTCGACCTTTGGAGACGGAGGTTGCCGGCGATCGTTCCGGAGCGACTCTCGGTTGTCCCACGGACAGTAGTGAGATATTTCTTTGCTAATTCTTTTAGTTGCTAGATATTGGGCTACTAATCAGGATATATATATTTTTTTTATTTTGGTTTTGTTCCTTTTCCCTTCCCCCTTCCTTTTCCCTTGTGAAAATTGCATATATATTTTAATTGTATGTAACTGTAACATAAGTGTAAATATATTTATATATATATTGCTTTAGCTGTCTCTCTCTCGTTTCAGTTTTCTTGGTTGTTTTCTTCCCTCTTCTCCCTGAGGTTTGGGGCAGGGGGGGACTTCTTGTGGTAAGGTTTGGAGACTTGGCAGGGAGCCAGCTTCAAACCATATCATACGTTTATGCAAGGGCATCCTGCAGGACACACTGTGGGATGTGGGGTCCAACATCCTGCCTTGTCCTGGCACTGCCAGTGTCGTGGGACCTGCTGACCCTTTGAGGGAACCAGCAGGGCCAGTGAACCTACCAGAATAATTTCAGTGCCAAAAATCCACACCAATGCTTCTGGTGTCAGCACATTGTCTATAGCTTGTAAAGTCTGGACTAAGAGCTCCAAAAGAATGGCATTTGAAATGAAAAAAAAAAAAAATCCTACATTGAGGAATCTAAGCTCCTTAACACCATGACCAACACATTCCAGAGGCCAGCAGGTGTGATACTTTCTGTGGCATGAATAGACATGGAAATGGAATTTGGTAAGAGCTACCATGGGGTGCAAGGCAGAAAAGTTTGAGGGGCTTGCTAGTTGAGTGACAGTGACTACAAAACCCAGAATGCTTTAACCTTGTACAAATACAGCAGATAAATACAAAACAAACAGTGCTCCCTGGAAAAAAAGGGTAAATTATGAGAAAAAACCTCAATATGATTTATGTATAACATTGATCTGTATGCCTGGTACTTTTACAGTCATAAATTCAAGACTTTCTGTAATGTTTTGGCAATGTTTTGTCTTGGGGTTATTTTTGGGCTGTTAGAGACAGAAAGTGCCCAACTTGGGTGACATTTGAAGTGGAAGTGGAGGTTTGCTGGTGCAATTCCACTCCAAACACAGCATCACCTTCCAGTGGCCAAAGGGAATCAGCACTGGCCCCAATGCCTGTGTGATGTGTCAAGTGCCAGGATCAGTCTTCATAGAGAAATACCACTGTGGTTCAACACTCCCTTGAGCAGCCGAGCAGTATCTAATGCTTCCACTCTCCATGTCCTTGCTAGAGCCAGCAGCAGGAGAAGCTTTAAGAGATGAAGATAAATTCCCAGATCAGGAGTTTTCAAGGAGAAGAGTTAAGCAGCAGCATTCAACCCGGGATTGGTGCAAATGTGGCGTGTCTGCGCAGCCCTGGGCACCCTGCATTGTCCCCAGTCGTGCAATTCTTTGAAAACAAGCAACTTTTTGCAATTATTTGCTGGCATTCCATGAAAAGCAATGCCCCCTTCAATTCTTCCTTTCTGGGCTTTTTATTGAAACCAGGCAGTCAAAAAAATTCCAGTTCTATTGGAAAAAGGACACGAGGATGGTTTTTGCCTGTGTGGCAATTTTCTTCTTCTTGCTCCTGGCGACAGCCTATTCTTCTGCAGGACTTGAACAATAAAGGTCTCAAACAAAGGCAGGTCTCACAGCTGGGGAAAGGACACTTGAGGTCAGGGCTCCTTCCTTAACCCCCAGTGAGGTCAGTGTCATGGGTTGTGCTGGTCCTGCTTTCCTGGGTGAGACTCTGCACAGCCTGTGGGAACTGATTCACCAAGCCCAGGGGGGAAGGAATTACAAGATCTCCTGCAGGATGGGGTTCACAGTGCTCTCAGACCAAGACCACTGGGATTCAGCCCCTCGTGCTGCAGAGAGGATGCCTCCACCAAGGCCCGTGCCAGCCCTGGGCTGAGGGACTCCCTCCACCACTCCAATCTGACTCCTCTGCTTAAAAGTAATTTTTAAGCCACAATTTTAGACTTCCTGACTGAGTGGGGATTTTTTAAACAACATTTTCTTAGCCAAATCCATCAATTTAGGAAAACTCACACATACAGAAATGCAGAAATATATATTCTGTGTGCAGTTCTGTACCACTCAATAACACTTTTTTTCCCCCCCCTTTGGACTCCACAGCCCCTCTTTAACATGGAAAACCCATTTGTCTACCTCACTGGATACTGAGTGGATGAATATATTAACTGCTTTGCAGCACGTTGGCCTGGTTTCTTCCTGGTCAGGAACATCAGCATATCTGCACCTCAGCCAGACTCTGGGAAATCAGTGAACCACGTAAACCACAACACCGTGGGGAGACTGAAGTGAGCTAATGCTCAGCTCATACAAACCACGTGGTTATTGAGACTCAGGAAAAGAAACTGATGACAGAGCCAGGTAAAACTGGCACAATCCAGTGTATTTGTGGAGTTAAACTCCTATCTTCCATGGCAAGGTGAGACAAAAATGGCAGGCTGTCATCGCTCTCTCTATTTTTATTTCCTCCCTGTCACTCAGTACCAAAATGCCTTTTTTGTTGGAAATTGTCTGGTCCATCCCAAAGGTGGTGCCTGCTGCCTCCTCTTGCTGCTCTGGAGCCTTCCTGCCTCCCTTTCACAGGCACAGACATTTTCATGACATAGTAGTGAGCAGAACCCCCAAACCAGCCACCACAACCAGAGACATCTCCTGCTGTGTAACTTGGGAGGGACTTCACACTCTCAGACTATCATTTCAGTCCCTGGAATCTTCCATGGTGGGAGTTCAGCAAGAGCCAAAGGCATTTCTCCTTGCAAACAGCATTGCAAGGCACTTCTCTCTGCCTCCCCATTTGCAGTAGAGCTCCCGCTTTCTCTTTCTTACCATGTTCTTTTTACCCCCTTTTGAACTCATGTGGCAACACACATCTTCCCCAGTGGTGGCTTAGTAATAGGTTTGGCTTAAACCACTTCCTCTTGCCCTGTCACTCCATGCCCTTATCCAAAATCCCTCTCCAGCTTTTTCAGGTACTGGAAGGGTCAATAAGGCCTCCCCAGAGCCTTCTCTTCTCCAGGCTGAACAACCCCAATTCTCTCCACAGATACAGAACTTGTCCCTTTAAAACAGCAATGTCAGAGGGTTTGTTTAGGAGCTGAGAGGTGTTTGGCTGCTTCAATTCTGTCATTTTGTAAGATCACATGATTCAGATGTGCACTGGAGCAGATTCTTGTGGATTCATATGGCATCAGCTTACTCTGAAATCTGGCTGTTGATGACCTACAGGGGAGTATTTGGCTGAAGGAATAGCCCAACGTTAGGCATCACTTTATCTGCGGGTGGCTGTGCCATAATTTGTAGATAAAACCCTGGATGCTTTCACCTTGCACTCAAAGGGCCTCATGTCAGGTAACAGGAGTCCAAAACAGTAGAAAAATGAAGGATTTTAAGAAAAATGAAGGATTTTAAGTCTTTATTGTGAGAAGAATTCTTACCCCCATCTGCAGGTGTACAAGCATGCAGGTAAGTGTTTATGCTGTCGAAGTCGAGTGGAAAATCCCTCTGGGATGGGAGGAAAAAAGATTCCTTTATGCCTATACAGCAAGAAATCTCAATGGTCTTGTCATCAAAAGAACAGGTCTGGAGCACGATTCTGCAGTTCAGGATGGAGGGATATGGAGATGCCCTGTCTTTGCCTCTGGAAAAGAGGCAGGTTGGGGTCCTCACCTGCAGCACTATTTGATATAAACACCCATTTTGTGGCAGCAAAGCCGCCTACAAGCACTGGAATAGCTCCATCCCAGCTTGGGACTCCCTCTTCACCCTTTATACTTGTGTACAGCTGGGGGCCAAACTGGAAGCATCCCATTCCCAGTGAATTGCTATCACAAAATTATGTGTATTTTTCTTCTGCTATGTTCCCAATTGGGATGTTTTGGTTTCTTTCCTAGTTCAGAATATTTAACATATTTTAACTTTTGTGACAGAAAAGAGTTTGCTATTGCCATTACATCAAAAATCAAGTCAGCACCTGGTGGGTTTGGCTCGCATTAGTACCTTCTGGTAACTCAGCCATGTGAAGAAGGGAATAGAAATAGCGAGTCCCTGAACACAAAACCCTCCCTGCCTGCAAGGACAGTTCCCCCAGTGCCTCTTTTTGATGGCCATAACCCCTGAGCAGGTGGCAGCTGAGAGGACAAGCACAGGGCTGCATTTTTCTGTACAAAACAGAATGGGAAGTGCAGTCACTGATGCTGGTTGGGGGCTGCCTGGTACTCTTCAATTTTTTAATAACCTTCTCGACTGGAGAGCCAGCTTCCCCTTTGATGTAGTGCTGGTTTCATTAGTACTTGCTCAAGGTGAATACCTGATTAGCCACGGGGAGCTGAAAGGGTCTTTCTTCTCCTTTTTATTTCTACTTTCATAATACTTACTACTGACAAAGAGTCCCTGTGCCCTTCTCGAGTTAGAAATAAAAAAAAAAGTGGTATTGGGCCAAAATAAGTGAGTTTGGACATGTTTGGCAGTTCAAACGGATTAAATCTCACAGCCACAGCTGAGCTTTTTCTGTGAGTTATTTCCCCGCTGCACTTCATGGTGTTTTCAGGCTTTTGGGGCTCTTTCCTCTCTCTCAAATCCAGGGCAGCTGCAGAAGGGCTGGGAACAAGGATTTCATTGCCCCTCATCACAGTGGCCCTTCTGCACGAGGACCATGAGGGATTTGTGAGCACAGAAGGTCTTACTGGGGGTCTGATTCCTACACCTGCAGGAACAGAGCTCTGCAGATGGATGAGTTTCAGCAAGGCCAAGGCTCTTCTTCCAGTTTTCTGCTGAAATAGACCTGTCAACCCACTGGGAAACAGTCCTTCTGAGATGCCAGATAGACCCTAAGTGTCTTTTTATCCCTTCTTTCCCCAGGAAAGCACTGCAATAAGAGACAGGTTATCCAGTCTCATATGTGAGTTCAAGAAGAGGGCTGCAGTTTGGGAGGAAAAAGGTAGGAAAGCTTTGGTTACCAGAGAACTCCTGAGAAATAAAGTCATCTGACCACTTGCAAAGACTTCACAGATTTCTGTCTTTGATTTCCTTCATGATTTTGAAGACAGAAGACACAGTAACAAGTACTCAGAGGCTTCTCAGAGATGCTACAAGCTGTTGACTGAATTTCAGGCCAGTTTAGACATCACTCCTGCTCTCTTTCCAGAGCCCATCAATTTGTCATTATAGATAAGCTCAATTATTGGTGCAAAGGGAAAGAAACTACTTTCTCCTGCTTTGGAATCATAATATAATTGTAACAGCAAGCACTTAAAGAGCTGTTCTGCACTGGAGGTGCCAATATGCTCTGTGAAATACTGTATTGCAGCCAAGGCAATGGACACATGGGAAGGTAGTGACTTGCCTGTTGCAAGAGGAGGAGATAGGTCCCCTGAGGGGGATGTATTGGCATAGCTAAAGTCAGCTTTGCATGAAACCTTCGGCCTTTTCCACAATATTTTGCCTTTTCACAGTAATTCTGATTTTGAACTTATTTTTCCCATTCTCCTGCTAGCATGCCAGGACTCCAGGACCCAAAGTTCCCATCTACTGGCTCAAGCCTGGGTTGATAGCTCATGAGGCTCCATCCAAAAGCAGAGAGCCTTTGAACACTGTTCCCCAAGTGTATCTTGCAGGGACCAGCCTTTCCCAGCACCCCGCTGAGTCTGCTGCCTGTGACAGACAGTGCTGCATCATTCCAGAAAATGGTGTGGAACACCACTTGTATAATCAAATATCACCAGTGTCCTTACCAGCATCTTGCAGATTCAGAGGTTTTTTAAAGGCAGGAAGAACCACCAGCTCAATTCTGACAGCACACAGCACAGCCTCCTCCTCTAGCCCTGCTCTCAACCCAGTGACCTGGTGCTTCCCCCACAAAGCCCACAGGCACAGGCACCACGTCACCCCTTGGTCTTCTTTGGATAAACCCAACAGACAGAGCTCCTACATCTGGCTACAAAATATTTTTGGTAGTCCTTGGGTTGTCTCCAGCTTCTCCCTCCCACCAACACCAGCTCAGCCCAGCCTCCAACATTTTCTAAACCTGAACACACAATGGGATTGCAGTGCTTCAGCCACCAAAGGCCAAAATTCCCCCCCAGGCTGCCCCCCAGCTTGCCCTGGCAGTGGGGGGACAGCACAGCTTTGCATCCCTCCACTTTAAGGTAGATTTTATTTGCTCAAATCAGTTTATTAAGTCGTGTGTCTTGCAGTGAGTGACATTCTCCCTTTTTAGCAGGATGGGATTTTAATGGAAATTGCCCTCTCACATCACTGTGAAATCAAGGTGGTTGGTCAGCTGGTAAAATCCTCTTATAGAAAGCCCAGCTTTCATTCTTTTTATGCTGCTTCAGTCCTGGGAAATTATCCCTTTGGAGCTACCCAATATATTCATTACTGTGCTGGTCCATCCTCTATCCTCTCTCCTGCCTCTATTGAATCCGAGTCCCAGCCATATGCTCCTCAGACACTGTCAGCTTCCAACACACAGACCAATCTGTCAGGATGGAATCTGAAATACTGTTATCTCGTGTTGGGTGTAATATCTCCTGGGCTAGAAAATGATCACACATCATTTGAGAAACTTCAAAGAGATTTATTTCTGGTTATATGAGACTCCCAGCATACATCTTTATGATTGAAGTCTCCCATTACCCGGTATTTCTTTCCATTTATTACGGATAAAAGCTCCAGAAGCAGCTCACCTCTTAATGTAAACCCATGGTCTGTAATCCCCTTTACAGGCACCACACACTCACCTCTCTCTATACCTCCCAACTTCTATAGTCAGGGCTTTAATATCTCTGTATTTAACAGCTAAACGGGTCACGGTCTCTTTTCCCCTCTGCCTTTTCTCTTGGGCACACACTGCTGTTCACACACACGTTGTACTCAGCAGTTTAAATGCTTCAGTCATACAAATCAGCCTCCCCTCACTCCATTTTGGCCACTGTATCAGATTTCTTTTAGTTAACAAACATTTTCAATTCCTGCCATTGTCAGAAGCATGAAGAATGAAGGAGGAAAGTGTTCATACAGCCACCGGAAATTAAACAATTTGCTTGGGCCTGTGATCTGCCTCGATGGATAAAACAAATCTGCCAGTGGCATTTTGGAAGGTGCTCTTAGGCAAACCACTGCCTCTGCCCTGCTACACCAGGCAGCATGATGGAGGAGTGCTATTAAACATTGTCAGTCAGACATCTGGGGAGTAATAAATAAAATTCATGGAAGAAATAGGATAAAAGCAGGGAGCTGCAGGGGACTCTGCAGCATCTGCAGAAGATGTTCAAAGCCAACCTTGCAGCTCCTGCTTGGAGGAAAGCCCTCTGCCTTTGTTTGGGCCTCAGCAGGAAGGGATGTTTATAGGTTGTGTCTTTTAAAGTACAGCAGGACTGAGTCAGAGTGTGTGTTTACATTGGGTTGTTGGGTGTTTTAAATATCAGCACCAAGTCCCAAGAATAAATTACTATGGTGGGAAAATAAGGTAATGTCACTTTGTACTGATGCAACAAATTTTAGTGCTGCAAAGCTAGTGGGTAACAGGGCAAGGCTGTGCCTGGTGATACACCTGGTGCAGTGGTGTTTGCTCACAAAGCTGAGCACTGGCAGGTCCACGGGATTTAGAGGAGGAAAGACACATGGTGGTACAAAACACCACCTTATTAATGACAGCTTTTTGGTCCAGGCAGATGTAAACAGGCCAGGGAGGAGGCAGTAATTGCTCCAGGAATAGGAGGCAGCCATTCCTAAAATAACCAAAACTTCCTCAAAGTCTCTGAAAACACTCTTCATAACCACAGCAAGAAGAGACTGGGACCAGTTCAAACCAGCACTGCACCGTGTACTGGGATTCCTCTCCGTGGTGGGGAGTGGTTCCCCCTTGGCAGAAAAAAACATTGACCAACCCAGGAAGAGTTAAAATCTCACTGCAGTTCACAGAATCATGAAACAGGCTGGGTTGGAAGAGACTTTTAAAGTTCATCCAGTCCAACCCCCTTGCAATGAGCAGGGACATCAACTAGATCAGGTTGCTCAGAGCCCTGTCCAACCTGGCCTCAAACGTTTCCAGGGATGGGGCAGCCACAACCTCTATGGGAAACATGTTCTTGTGCTTCACCTCCTTCTGAGTAAAGAATTTCTTCCTAATATTTAATACCTATCTAATATCTTCGTTTTTTCCAACCAGCTTCTAAGAGCCTGGGCTCAACTCCAAAGAAATTGGTCTCGATTTAGTGAAGAGTCTTGGACGTGTGTGAAACCCAAATGAATGGGCAGCAGGACCAGGTAAGAGAGTTGAAGGTGAGATCTCTAAACAAGGTGTCCCTCCCAGTGTTTTTATGGGGAGGGCCTCTTGTGCTGTTCAAAATTATTTCCTTCTGTTAGGTTTGGTTTATTCTGTATTTTTATGCACCACTAATATGGTGGAGCCCTGCCAAAAATGGATGTTAAAATGCCAAAAGGAGGAGAGGCTCTGCTGAAACCTTTCTGAGTCAGTAGGAGCCAGGAAGCAGGGAAGCCACAGGCACTTCTGTTCATGCACAAGTTCCAGCCCCAAAGTGCAGGCTCTGGAAGCTGGATTTTACCTAATCATCTGCATTAGACCCATAATGATCTGTCACAGTTTTAAGCAGGTGCACATTTACCAAGGCTACAAATTGCCCTGAGATATCCACAGCCCAAAATCCTAAGAGAGTCCAAATCCCTCTGTGAGGCACTAACACATTCAGTATGAATTTCACACAGAAGACCTTTTTTTATTTGTTTTTAACATGAATACTGTCCTTGGCATCCTATAAGACATGTTACATTCCCAGGGGCATAAATGGAGGTTTGTTGCAGCTTTGACTGGTCTCTTGTCAGACATACAACATCTAATTCACTGCAGTGTTTCTACTTGTCCCACTCTGGTTGGATGTACACACTCCCAGCCATTCCACTACTCCTTCTGGCTGGGAGGGTTCATATCTTCTTTGATTCCTTCATCTCCTGAAAAGGAAAGGAAAAGGGGACAGTGCTGGAGATCGATCAGTGTGTGGCTCAGCCCCAAAGTTGGGGCAAGGTATCTCGAGGGACCTTTCCATTTGTACAGAGTGGAATAGTTGTGTTTGTCCACAGGGAGCATCCAGTCTCTCTCCCTGGGTGTTCCTCTCATCCCAACCTGCAAATCGCCTGTGAGTGCCTACATCTGGATTTGGTTTATGATTTGCTTTTTTAGTCAGGGGAGAGAAGCAGGTTCAGGAAGGATGTGGTTCATCTCATCTTAAATTTGGTGTCTGAACCTGCTTGGGTGAACTGCCCCTGGGATGAGTCTCTGCCATCATCAGTGGAAAGGGTTGTCCAGCTGCTCGGATGGGTCTGTGCCCACTTTTAGGTTCGGTCTGAGAAAAAATGTGGAGACCTTCTGGCCTCTGATCATCCTTGCTGAGCTGAGAAAGAAAGACTCTCAGACACAGCGTGTAAAACACTTCCCTTCCCACAGCCTTTTCCTCTCTGTTTGGTGAGAAGATGACATTTCCATTCACACAGCATTCAGCACAAGGCACCCCCATTCCCATTTCATCCTTGGGCGCCGCTCTAGGAAAAATAATAAACAGCTGAGTGTGGTGGTGGGGTTTGGGAACGGTTCCAGCTCACAGTTAAAGGACAGGCCCCGTTATTTCTTGATGAATAACAGCATTTACAGAAGGCCTTTCACCCCGAGGTGCTTCACAAACTATAAACATACATCACCACATCACAGAACGGGCAAAACAGCCAACTTCAAAGTTACAGCTGGGAAAATCCCACAGGCAGCCCAGTGCAGGGAGCGACTCACCTGCCAGATACCAAAAAGCAAGGCAGTCCTACACACAGGGAGGGGCTGCTGCTAGACTTAGGCATGTCCAAGCTGCAAAGTAGACCACAGGATTGTCCTTCTCCTCTCTGGAAATTATCTGTATGGTCTTTAAATGTCTGTGTTTAAACAATGCTACTCTCTCACTGCCAAAGTTGAAACCATCTATGTTTTATTGTGTTCCAACATGGTTGTAAGGTCCATGTGATTGTTCACCTTTATTTCCTCTCCAAACAAGGGTTCCTCTCCATTTCCTTCACACATGCCTGTGCCAGCCACAAACGACTGCTGGTTGATGCAACACTACACCAGTGCAAAGACCCAAAGGAGCAACTAAAAAGATGCATAAAAGATGTATAAAAATGACAGCTAAAGGGGCCTTAAAAAAGATGATTCAGGAGTTTTTAGTGTCAGGAAAACTCAGCTGCCAAGATTTGGTTTCACAACTTTGAAAACCTCAGAGAGTGAAAGAGCCTGAACTGAGTGTGGAGGTGAGGAGTGCCCCGAAGGTGGGTCTGGAAGGACCTGGAGCCCCCTATCCTGAGGGTCCAGCACCTTCCCTCTGACAGCAAATGTGGGATCAAAACAGGACCATGCCATGCACAGGCTGCATCATGGACATTTCTCAGCATCACTGACCACCTGGGTGATTTTACCCCCACCTTCAGGAGCCTGGATAGGGATCAGCAAATGGAACCTCATGCTCCAGTTAAGTGACACTTTTACAGAGGAATCACAGGACATAAAGTGTGTAAAAAGCCCAAGGGTTCAGAGACAAATTTCAGCATCTGACTGTCATCCTTGGTTTGCATTCACCAGTTTATACTGGGACTTTCTGCTTTCTAGAAGGTTCCCTGCCCCAGTGAAGGGGCTTCAGTGCTGGTGGTGAGCATGGAGGCTTTGCAGCCAGGACTTTTCTCCTGGTTTAGGTAGCACAATGCAGGTTCATTCATTCCTTGCTGGAACAGACTGAATCAGCAGACAGACAAGGCAGTAGAAGGACATCATTACAGTCAGGGGTGAGCAGGGAATGGTAAATGTAATTTCAGATGTAATTGTCCAAAGGAAAATGCAGATGATGCAAAAAGAAAAGCTTCTCAACAGTGTAATTTAAGGCACTAAAAAATAAGCACACAAACTAAATACAGGAACCCCCAAATTAGAGACATCTAGAAACCATCTGAACATTTTCTTCCTCACTCCAGTTTTCCCAGTGCTCTGACTGCCACAGTTAGTTCTGCAAGGCCAGGTTTGGTTTCAGAGTGATTAATGATTAGCAGCAGCCACAATTTTTTTCAATCCTTTCTGAAGATCAGGGGAGGGGAAAAAATGCAGCTCAGTCAGAATTTCTGCCTCATGTTCCGTGCTCTCAGCAGGGCTGGGCTCTTGGAACACCAGTGGGAGCTACAGGAGCAGAGAGTATTACCAGGAGAGGATTTGCTCCATCTCACAAGTGACCCACCCCTTTGGAGCTGATCTTCCTTTTCTTTTCTGCTATTTATATGAATAAACCCCTCCCCAAACAGTTTGCTGAGTGATAAGAACTCGGATCATCCATTACCCGCCTCGCGTCAGGCGGCTGCCGCGGTGGGAATGAGATTTGCATGTGGTCAGGCACATGGTCCTGCAATCACAGCCTCCCCTAATTGCACATTAACATGAATTAAAGCCTGGCTGCAGGGATGTTGCTTCCCTGTTTCGTCCCTGCAATGGTTTCTGTTGTGGCAGTTGCTGCTGAAAAATCCCCGCTTTGGTGATCAAACCAAACCTGAAAGTGGTGTTGGGCTGCACCACAAACAGTCCATTTTAGGCAGCAGATAGTTTCCAGTGGAACAGCGTTGCCCTTGCTGAGTTACCTCCCTCTCCCAGTGCTTCCTGTTTTTTCATCGTCTTTGAAGCTTTACATTTATTTGTAAGCATTAAATCAGAATTTAGTTACACTAAGAAACATTGGAATTATAAATAATCTAATCCTAATACATGTACAGAAATGAATAGGTATGGAATACTGAAAAGGTATCACTGGAGTCTCTCCTCTTAAACAGGTAGTGTAGAAGACATGATTATACATTCTTGTGCCAAGGTGTGAGAACATATCATGCCTAGACATTATCTCATTAACATCCTGTTCATTCTCAAATCTAAATCCAGATAACAATTGTTTCATTTTGTGTGTATATATAATTTGTGGGTTGTCTGCCTTTTGGTGAAGTCAAGACATACAAGGCTAATGCAAATACATGAATTTCATTCCCACAGCAGACCAGCATCTTCCACAGGTCCCTTCTTTGACATTAAAAGGCGTATTTGAAAAGGACTTTTTTTTTAATTACCCTCTTTGCATCCAGGAAAATGATTGAATTGGTACTGACCATACCATGTACAGGTCACTAAAGTATGTACCACGACCTAAACCCCATTCCATCCATTCCTAACAGGGCAAATACATTCGGAGCATATTGTGCAGATGCTGCTGTAGCTGGAGAAAGGAAAGACAGTCTGATTAACCTCATTCCCTGATAAAAATCACACCAAACACTCTGAGAGAAGAGGATAAACATCCTGCCTCAAAGTCTCATTTTACCCACATTGCCCTCCAAGTGCTTGAGAAGCCACAGAGGGACTGCACTTTGTCGATATCCCAACGGAAGGCTGAGGTTACCTCCAACACACCAGAAATTTTTTTGAACACCTTCAGCTTACAAATCCTTTATGGAATTACAAACAAGAGATTCTCTGGTTTCAAAGGGGTGGCAAAAAAGCAGACTCTCCTCCAGGACATGGCTCAGTGGATCGTATAACCACCTTCCGAAGAGAGAGCCTGAAACACCAGCACTGTCTGTAGCAGCTTTTCACCTTGCCAAGAGCAAGGCTGTGGGGGCAAAGATAGTTTATGTAGTGCTGTGCTGGTGTGCTCACCTTGCTGCTGATACCCAAACGTGGCAGTTGAACACTGTATCTCCCATTACCCCATTTTTAATGCAGCTTGGGGGAGTTTTGTATTAGATTTCCAGTCCGGCTGATGAGGGAATTGATGCTGGGCTTCTGTAAGAAATGCGTCTTGTAACAGTGCAGCACGTTGATGAAGTAACCAAAACAATATAAAACCACTGTGAAACACATTAAATGGATTAAGAATTGGCTAACTTAATGTCTTAAATACAATTATAACCAGAGAAATTTTCTTTGAGTGGGTGTGTGTTTGGACAGATCCCGCAGGGACTGGTTCTTGGCTCTACACTATTGTATTTTATCAACAACTTAGGAAAAAAACCTTTAAATCATTATCAACAGATTTTTCAGATGAAAAAGGCTGGGAAAATGGTCAAAAGAAGGAAATCAGGTCACTGATACAAACAGGTAATTGGCAATCTGAAGGTAAGCAAGTGCAACCAAGTCACAATATCGGAGAAAGAAGAACTTTGCCTGGTGGGGGCTGTGGTGATTCTACA